AGAAATGCCAGAGAAGAAAAAAAAAAATAAAGGAAACTGTATAAATGTCCATGTACCATTAAAGTCACAATGAAACAGTGAAAAAGAATTTATAAAAGCAAAGAAAAGAAAAAAAGTCTTCATGAAAATTTAAAGAATTCTTTCCATTGGAATTCAAAATAGTCTCAACTTCTCAGCATTTTTTGGTGGGGTCTTCTGGAGTGTGATGTTCCACCCTCTAGATTGCTGGAGTGAGAGAGGTAGAGTCCTGCAGGTGGAGTTCCTGGAGGCAGGGTTTTAGGCTTAGGCAGGCTCCAGGCTCTTTGATGAATGCTAATTGGTCTAAAGATTTAAATCAGCACACCTCCAATGCCCAGTTTTGCTCCACACTGGAACACTATACCCCAGGGATCTCACCTGGGTTCCACTTGTGTGGTGGGGGAGCCAATTTTTAGTCCCTGTGTCACCTGCAGACCCCAAGTTTCCTGGTCTTGGGTTAACTTCAAAAATTTCTCACGCCCCTACCCTTCTGAATTCCTGGCCAAATGTGACTCTCCCAGCTGGACTGGAGGGTGAGGGGGAAAGCTGGGTGGGTTTCCTCCATCAGTTGTCCCCTGTATAAACCTTTCTCCATGTTTGATTTTCTTCTGGTTACTTAAGCACACTCTATGTCACACATAGTGTGTATTACTGAGCCTGTATTTTGGGCCAAACTTGGGTTTGCTAGGAATTGGCTTCCTCAGTTGCTAGACCTCTTAAAGAAGCTGCAAAATGGTTCTTTCCTTTGTCCTCTGTATGCTACCTGGAGAGATGGCAGCTTCTTTCCCCACACAAATATCTTGCAGAGAGTTCTTCGGGTTTGTTGAGCAATCTCTTCGGTCTCTAAATGTTCCAAACCCAGGGCTGGGGATGTGGCTCAAGCGGTAGCGCGCTCGCCTGGCATGCGAGCGGCCCGGGTTCGATCCTCAGCACCACATACAAACAAAGATGTTGTGTCCGCCGAAAACTAAATGTTCCAAACCCAGACATACCTCAGGCCTCCCAAAAATGCCGGTTTCTTTACTTCCCTTTTCTCTCTACTATGCTCATGGACGGACCTCTCTATCTGGAGCTTCTGACCCGGCTGTGGCAGCACCTATGCCAGTGGGGATTTTTTCCCTTATTTTATTATATCCAACATCCTGTGTCCCATATCTGCTTTGAATGTTCAGTTTTAGGTTTGAATAAAGTCCCTCCCTTCCTTTTTTTTTTTTTTTTGTTCACCTACCTTGCAGAGAAGCTGCATGTCTGCTTTCTTGGTTTCATGCCACAGAGCAGCCAGGAACACGACCTCCTCTATTCTGCCATCTTGGAACTCTTCCCAACCCCCCCCTTTTTTTTAATGTTTTATTTTCTCTTGATAAGTCTTTAGGGCCTCATTAAGTTGCTGACATTGCAATTGAATTTGCAATCCTCCTGCCTCAGCCTCCTGAACTGCTGGGATTACAGGCATGAGCTATTGTGCCCAACTTATACATATTAATGCTTTAAATTTTTTTAAATTTTTTAGTTGTAGTTGGATGCAATACCTTTATTTATTTATTTATTTATTTTTATGTGGTGCTAAGGATCAAACCCAGGGCCTTGCATGTGCTAGGTGAGCACTCTACCGCTGAGCCACAACCCCAGCCCTGTACATATTAATTTTTAAATTCTTATAGATGTTAAAAAATTTCCCTGGTATTTTACTATTTATTTATTTTTGTGGTAGTAGGGATGGAACCTAGGACGTTATACATGCTAGGCAAGTGCTCTACCGCTGAGCTGAGCTGAGCTATATCCATAGCTCTTTTTCTTCTTCTTCTTTTTTTTTTTGAGAGTCTTGCTAAATTTCTAGATTTGTCTTGAGCTTGTGATCCTCCTGCCTCAGCCTCCTGAGTAGCAGGGATTACAGTGCATGCCTACCTTTTAATTTTAAAATATTAATAAACTTTATTTTTTAAAGCAATTGAGGCATAGATAAATGTATGATATGAATCCTCCATTGTAGTATCACATAGAGTATTTCTGCTACTATAAAGTCCTCTGTGCTCTGTTCCTACAACCTCTGGCCACTAATAATCTTTTTACTATCTCCACAGTTTTATCTTTTCTAGAATGTCCTATAGTTGGAATTACACAGTATGTAATCAGATGCCCAGATTTATGATTAGCTTCTGTCATTTAGTAATAGGCATATGAATTTCCTCCATGATATTTGTTTTTAAACATTTTAAAAATGTGCATAATTATTATACATGAGTGGGATTCAGCATGCCATGTTCAAATATGCACATAATTTGATCAATTTCATTCCCTGGTCCTCCATGATATTTTCATGACTTGACAGCTCATTTCTTCTTAGTGCTGAATAGTATATTCCATTATCTGGGTGTTCCACAGTTAGTCAATTAACCTACTAATAGATATTTTGGTTGCTTCCATGTTTTATGAATTATGAATAAAGCTGTTATGAACTTCCACGTGTAGTTTTCTTTGTGGACATAAGTGTTCAATACATTTGGGAAAATACCAAGGAATGTGATTGCTGGATAATATGGGAAGAATATGTTCAGTTCTGCAAGAAATAGCCTAATTTCTTCCAAAAGTGGCTGTAACATTTTGCATTCCTACTAGCAATGAATTAATTTCTGTTGCTCCACATCCTCTACAACAGTTGATGCTGTCAGGGTTTTAGATTTTGGTCATTCTAATAGATATGTGCTAGAATCTCCTTATTTCAACTTGCAATTCCCTAATGAAGTTTACAAGCCCACTTGTCATTTGTGTATCTTCTTTTGTGAGTTGTTAATAATTTTTTGGCCTACTATTCAACTGGGATTTGTTTTCTTACTATCAAGTTTATCTCTTTATATACTTTGGATAATAATCTTTTATCAGATGGGTCTTTTGCAAATATTTTCTCCTAGTCTACAGCTTGTTTTTATGTTCTCTTGACATTATCTTTCACAGGGCAGAGTTTTAAATTTTTTTTTTTAGTTGTAGTTGGACACAATACCTTTATTTTATTTATTATTTTTATGTGCATAGAACCCAGCACCTCACACATACTAGGCAAGCGCTCTACTGCTGAGCTACAACCCCAGCTGTGTTACACACCTGTAATCCCTGCTACTCAGGAGGCTGAGGCAGGAGGATCAGAAGCTCAAGACAAACCTAGAAATTTAGCAAGCCTCTAAAAAAAAAAAAAAAAAAGAAGTTTTTAATTTTAATGAAGTTAAGCTTTGTTAATTGTTTCTTTGATATTATATCTAAAGAAGATATTATCATATTCAAGGTCATCTAGGTATTATTCTCTGTTATCTTCTAGGAGTTTAACATTTTTGTTGTTTATATTTAGGTATCCTTCTTTCTTTTTTTTTTTTAGTTGTGGATGGACACTATGCCTTTATTTTAAAAAATTTTTAATATTTTTAGTTGTAGATGGACACAATACCTTTATTTTATTTAGTTTTTTTATTTGGTGCTGGGGATCGAACTAAGTGCCTCACACGTGAGGGCAAGTACTCCACCACTAAGCTACAACCCCAGCCTCTACATTTAGGTTTCTGATCCACGTTGAGATCATGTTTTGTGAAGTCAATAAGGTCTGTGCCTAGATTTACTCTTTGCATGTAGGCATCTAATGATTCCAGTATCATTTGTTGAAGACTATTGGCTCTGTACTACATTTGCTCTTTGCTAAAGATCAGTTGACCACTGTGTGAGTCTATTTCTGGGCTTTCTATTCTGTTCCACTGATTTATATGTCTGCCCTTTCACTAATACCACACTATCTCTATTACTGTAGCCTTGTAGTAAGTCTTGAGTTAGGCTATCAGTTCTCCAACTTTGTTAGTCTCCTCAGTGATGAACTGGCTATTCTGGATCTTTCGCCTTTCCATACAACTTTGGTTTGTCAATATTCACAAAATAACTTGCTGGGATTTTAATTTAGATTGCATTGAATCTACAGATAAAGTTGGGAGAACTGGCATCTTGACAATATCAAGGTGTTCTATCTATGAAAACAAAACAACTTACTATTTATACTGTTCTTTGAAATATTTCATCAGAGTACTGTAGTCTTCCTCACATAGATCTTTTACTTATTTTTAAATTTAAAGATAAGTATTTTGTTTTGAGGGTGCTAATATAAGTGGTAAATGTGTTTTTTATTTCAAATTGCACTTTTCATTGCTGGTATACAGGAAAGTAACTGACTCTTGCATATTTAATCTTGTATCCTGCATCCTAACTCACTCATTCTCTAGGAGGATTTTATTTTATTTATTTATTTTTATTTGTGACACTGGTGGTCACAGGGCTTCACATACACTAGGCAAGTATTGTACCACAGAGCTATAGCTCCAGGCCCAAGATATTTTTAATATTTAAAATTTATAATTTAAGATAGAAATAAAATTAAACCCAGGAAAAAACCTCTCACTATTTGGGAATAATGACTGCTAAATGCTCTCTGAAGACCATGTAATATGTTCACTATTATGATAAAAATGCAAATAACTACTGACTGGAAGACTTAAAATAATAATTTTTTTTTTAAAGGAAGAATCTCTTCCTTATCATTACTTCTTAATCATGTGACTGGGAACAAGTAGCTTTGATGGAGTGGATAGTCCAAGAACATTCCTGTAGAACTATTCATACTTACAGTTACTCAAGTTATTCTAGGGGAGAAAGTGACATTTTGAAGACATAATAGTTCACATTAATACTTTTTTAGAAGGCTGTGGAGGGAGAGAATGCCATCAGTCACACCCAGGGTGTAGTAAGAATGCGACATTCTCAAAAGTTTGGGAATCATTTTTGTCACAAAGCATGTATTTACCTGCACATATGAAAACATGAAATTCCTCAGAATATCACAGCAAAAAAGGTAAACCAATTTTCTGTGATGAATTTATTCTCCTGATAAGCAGCTGATACTCATAACTAGGTTTTTGTTAGGTCTTTATGCATTAAGTAATGTGTAAAAATACCTTTGTTTGGGAGGAATCTGTAGGTGCTCAAAGAATAATTTGCCCTGGGAATTTATGCTCATCACAACCTCTTTTTCAGATACCAAGTCTATCTTGAATGGGTTTTCTGTGATATGACACTTCAGATCTCCTTTTCCATCTTCCAATATCAGACTGCCTTTATCCCCTGAGCACGAAATCAGCCTAGAAAACAGAGCAGGAAAGGAAAATAAATTGCTACAGGTTTACATGGTTCTATGTGACTTGTAATTCAAAGTAATTAATTAGTAAATCAATCTTAATGAATATAGCATAGATAGGACAATGGAAAACCATTGTTGAGAGCATGGGTTTTGGTGTCAAGAGAGCTTATATTGAACATAACTTTACCTTATTACTTTATAACATTAGATAATGAAGTTATCCAACATTTCTACATCTCAGTTTTCTTATCTGTAAAGTACAGATAAGATAAAAGTTGCAACCAAAATAGTTTTTTGGACAGAATTAAGTAAGACCATGCATAGTACCTGACACAGAAACACTCAAGTGTTAACTGTCATCATCAGTATTACTTCTGTGTGTAAAGTCTAGTAACACTTCAGAATTTAAACATTATTTTCCTTTCTCATTTCCACCATATATTCAGAAATTAAGGAGTCTACAGGAAATGGACCAGGTCAATTTTTATTTATCTACTTATTACTTACTACTTATTACTTTTATTTATTTACTTATTATTATACCTCATCAGCCTCCAATTCGACAGGCAGACTCTTAAGATGTTTTGGAGCCTAAGGATGTAAGCTCAGAGCCAGCACTTAAAATCTCTCTCAGTCCTAGATTTCTCCCTTTTTGTAGTGCACATTCACCCTGGTAAACAATCACAGGATCTTTTAGGGATGATGATATGGGACAGTTTATGTTCTTACTATGTCCTTTCAGTCATTTTCCATAGATTCTAGGACTCCCTTTCACGTAGATGTTTGGGACCTGGAAACCAATTGTCTGGAGTGGTTGAGAGGCTGTCTCACTGCTCATTAAGCAGGACTCTAGTCCATCTGTCTTAGACTAATGGACCCCAGGATAAATTGTTAACTACCCTGAGGGTTAAAATGTTTTGTGTACTGGGCTGGGGATGTGGCTCAAGCGGTAGCACGCTCGCCTGGCATGCGTGCGGCCCGGGTTCGATCCTCAGCACCACATACAAACAAAGATGTTGTGTCTGCCGAAAACTAAAAAATAAATATTAAAAAAAAATCTCTCTCTCTCTCTCTCACTCTCTCTTTTTTTAAAAAAATGTTTTGTGTACTATGTGAGCCTTACTGCATATTATGAAATTATGTCCACTTTGTCTCTCACAATTAAATGCTGCTACCTTGCCTCTATCACCTTGAATCTTTTATCATTGCCACTGCAGAGAGGCCATTTTAATGGCATCAATTCCCACCATTATCTCCAGTCTGCAGAAGAAAAAAATTCATTGCAATGCTTTCCAACTGTTCCTTTGCTAATGTATTTCTCAATGAAGGGGTATCTTCTGGATTCTCTTGCAGAAAGAATGAGGGGCAAGGTGAGCTGGTTTTATGTGACAAATCCACTTGAACATCTTTATTTCCCTAAGTCTATGAATCATTTCTTCTCTACTGTGCTTTGGAATTTTTGGATCTCAGTTTAATCAGCAGAATCCATAGCTGAGTTTAATTCAAAGTTAATCAACCAAGCAAACAACCTGAACCACTCTCAGCTGTCCCATTTAGATATCAAATCTATATTCTCTGGTACATGTACCTGTGTCAATAAATTTAACCTGATCTAAAATAAGTTTCTTTCTTCTTGTCTAGAAATCCCCCAGAAATAATTTCCACACATTTCCCAGGTTTTTGTCATCATAAATTCTTATAATTCTGTAAGCATGCAAGCCTTCTCCTCCTAAGTTTGAATGTAATATGCTCAAATAAATTGGGATCTGGCTGTGACAATGAGTCTGGAGGGAATCAAGGATGGTAAGGGTAAAACAAGGAACATTGAAATCCCTTTTCAAGGTTTATCTTAAATGAGGTCAGGGTCAAGCAAGTCAGGATCAACCTTATTGGATATAGCAAGAAGAGCCATTTCTTCAAGAATGGGAAGCTCAGTGGAGTTCTGAAGTTCAGGTATTTAGGTTTATGAAACTCTTGCAAATGTTGCCATTAAATTTTAACAGGTCCTACCTCTTCCCAGTTAACTCCCTAAGTTCACAGATGTGAGGAAGTTGTGAATTCAACTTCGGTTCTCATTCAATAGCTTTAGTATCGAACTCTGTATGTGGTTTTTAGCTACAAGGACCCTGCAACTACAAGAGATGAGAGAATTTCAGGATAGTTCTCTGAAAAAATCATGAGTTAAGAATTTAAAGTCCTAAGACTGTTTTCTTTCATTAAGCTCTTCAGGGAAGCTAATAGCAGCTAGGCTACCACAGAGTTTAGTGCTACGGTTCTACCACCTGGTCTGCTTTCAATAGGTGTTTTATTTCAGTTGACCACCAGTAGTAATTTAAATAACTTTGACACAGAATGCCATGGTTTATTACTACTTATATTAGTTTGATATGCATCCAAAACAAAATATCACAGGGTGAGTACATGTTTAAACAATAGAAATTTATTTTCTCATAGTTCTGGAAGCTGGAATTCCAAGACCAAGGTGTTGGAAGGTTTGGTTTCTATACCCCCCTACCACTGTGTACTGGGAATTAAATCTAGGGAAACTCTACCCCTGAACTACATTTCTAGCCCTTTTTATTTTGAGATAGGGTCTCACTAAGTTGTCCAGGCTGGGATTAAACTTCTTATCTTTCTGACTCAGCCTTCCAAGTCATTGGGATTACAGGTATGTGCTATTGCACTTGGCCAGGTGTGGTTTCTTGTAAGGCCTATTCCCTAGGCTTGCTGAACCTTATTTCTGAGTCCTCACATGAGTGTTCCTGTGTGTGTGTGTGTGTGTGTGTGTGTGCCCTAATCTCCTTTTCTTCTAAGGACACCAGTCATAATTGGTGAGGTCCAACCTAACGTCCTCATTTTAACTTAATCACCTCTTTAAAGGCTCATTGCAAATACAGTTACATTTTGAGGTATTAGGAGTTAGGGGTTCAAAAAATCAATTTTTTTGGAGGACACAATTCGGTTCATACATTAGTATTCCATCACCTAATGGAAACCAGGTCCTCATTGCCATCAAATTTAACTAGATCAAAAGCTAATTGCATATTCCCAATCTTGAGGTTCTGTTGCCTGTATCCACTTCAGATAGCAACTACTTTATTAACAAGGGATCAACTGGTGATAATAGGAACAACTCTGGCAGAAAATAAATGACTTAATAGTGGAAACTCTTTGCTTACATCATGGGAAGGTTTCAGGTTACAGGTTTCAGACTATACATCTAGTAATGACCCCTAGAAACAATACTGTTTTACTGTATGGCCAATGGAACTTCTATCTCAGCTTCATATTTTGAAGCCCTAACTCCTAGTACTTCAGTGTGTGACTGTATTTGGAGATAGGACCTTTAAAGAAGTAATTAAGTGAAAATGAAAATTAAAGTCCTATCGCATGAAGTCATTATGAAGTCTATTATGACTAGTGTCCTTATGAGAAGAGATTAGAGGACACAGAAGCATGCATGCATGTGCGCGCAGAGACACGCGCAGACACACACAGAAACACAAACACACACACACACATACACACACACATGGTCAGTTATGTGAGGACACAGCAAGAAAGTAGACACGCTTCTTGTAAGGCCTAGGAGATAGGCCTTTTAAGAAACCAAGCCTGCTAACACCTTGATCTTGGCTTTCTAAACATCAGAACTATGATAAAATAAATGGAACTTCTATCTTAGGAAGTTGGATAATCAGAAGTCACTGTGGCAATTGTTGGGTTCTAGGATCATGCCATATTAGCGCTACTATGGAGATTAGGAACCTGTGATCCTAACTAATGGCCTTAGAGCCAGTCTACAGCTGCCAGATCTACACAAACAAATGGAGAATTTAGTACTAAAATCAACATTTATGCACATGCATATGATTGGTAGAAACTAAATTATATCAGAAACTCTAGGTACAAGGGAATCTGAGAAATGCAGTTTTTAGTTATTGCAATAGTGACAGGCCCTCTAGAAAGAGGTGGGAACAGAAGCAGAACTAATAGTCATATTTACGGCTCAAAACTAATATCATCCAGAATCCAAAACATGGCAAAGATAGTAGAGAAAAAATATCATATTAATTTTACTTGTGAATACAGATATCAAAATGTTAAAGGATCTCCAAGCAAAATGAAACCTCCATCATTAAAAAATAACTTACTGTGACCAAATGGTTATATATATGCATAAACTCAATTGTCAAACTGTAAAGGCTTGAAAACGGTCTCCTTTAATCCTGTTTTCTTGGCATACAATAGCAGTTCAGTGAATAGATGACTTTAATTTATCATAATAAAATTAGTTTTTCCATATTTATACTGACCTTTTTAAAATATTTTTTATACATTTTTTTAGTTGTAGATAGGTACAACACCTTCATTTTGTCTATCTATTTATTTATTTAATGTGCTGAGGATTGAACCCAGTGCCTCACACATGCTAGGCAAACACTCTACCACTGAGCTACAACCACAGTCCTCTACTGACCTTTAATAATAATTTTGTGGAAAAAATAATCTACCTAAAACCATGGGAGTGACAGCGAAAATTGAAATATCTGGCATAGTTTTATTTTTCCTTAGTGAAAAAATATGAAAAAACAAAAAACAGAAATCAACTGGGAGAAACAGACTTGAAATCTCACTGTGGGGAAAACTGATAAAGATTTTGCACACATTCGAAAAATGCTTTAGTCCCTAAAGATTTTTTCACCTAGGCACCAATAATTAATTTCTCTCTAAGTAAAATTACATGTTAGACTTCTAAGAATACCCTTAATTAAGAGTGAGTCAGTCTAAATTATAAATTACTATTGGTATGGGAGTTTGGCTGGTAAATTAGGTCTCTAGAGCCTTGCTGTTAATCTGAATAAGTAGCTTTCTTTCTACTTGCTCCCAAAGTCTAGCTAATAAACTGTTTTGTTGTGAGAAGGAAAGTGGGGATCAAAGTTCTGTTCCCCTATTAATAGGTGCTGGTAAGTAAAGTGGTAAAGAATAAATAGAATGGATAACATAGAAAACTGATAAACTTATCCCTGAATAATTGAATACTAACCCTAAAAATGATTATAGTTTTGAAAAGACAAAATAGGAGGCATATAAAAATACTCTAGTATTCAAGGTATGATAAAAGAACATGTAGAGGGTGTATCTAAGACATCTTGTTCCTTGGCTTACCTTACAGTCTTTGGCTTGCTGATGAGGACGTCAGGAACTTCATACCTGGGTTTCAGTGGAGTTTCTTCATTGATTTTAAGTCTGAAAATGTTTTTCTCTATACCATAAACTTCAGCCAAAAGAGGAACCTGGGAACAAATATATGAGATTAGCTTCAACAGGTTTCCCAATGATATTCTAACAAATTACAATAATTAGAAAGAAAATAATTTGTTTAATTATTAAAGGGCATATATAGCTATGAAAATTAGAGAAAAATGAAAATAATAGAAAGAACAAGCTCCCAATTTATGTACTTGCTTGGTTACACCTGTGGTAGCACAAGAAGTACCCCTATATGGTTAGGTAAACATATAATTGTCCAAACCAGGACCTTTAGAATAAAGAGTGACTATTAATAATTACATGGATAACAGGGATAAACTAAAAACAGCCTTGGGAAATTGAGATACATAGCCACTATTATCTATGATAAATTACAGATGTGCTAAGAATAACAGTTTGTTAAAACCATAATAATTTGATTCCAACTGAATGAAAGATGAAGGCTAGCAGGCCACAGAATAGAATACAGAGTAAAACGATGACCTCTGTGGTTCTCTAGTATTAGATGAAATGAGGCTTGCTATACTAAAATCAAGCCAGCTCTATGAGACAGAAATGGCCAGATTTAGGTTACAAAATGAGGCATCTAGATCAGAGGACTATTTTAAGATGGTGGCTTTCAATGGGTGTGTCATGCCACACTCGTCTATGGCAAATTCTTCATGAAGTACGATGCTAAGTTTTGGTTACAAATGGATACTTATATTATTATTATTACATCTAAAAAGAGTAACCTGGGTTGGCTGTGTGATGTAGCGTGGAAGAGTTGATATATGGTGATATAAGCATGGAAAATATCAAGCAGCACCAAAAAAATATGCTTTTCAAGGATCTTTGCCTCTTGAGAATGAATATAGAAGACTAGACAAGGACTGTAAGCAGTGACATGATACTGAAGAGCGACAAACTGGTGCTACGGCTATGGATGCTTTTATAGAGAATTTAAGACAGAACTATGTTGAGTACATTTCCATTGCTCTCTTAAATTCAACTAACATTTATTTAACATTGTGATGATTAAAGTCTTAGGAAGATGGTAATTTAAAAGGGATGAAACAGGTACAAAGTTCACATAAGGCATTTTATAAGTGCAGATAGAAAGATAAGTATAGTGCTAGGGGGAATAAGGAAGGGAACTATTTTTTATTTTATTTTTGGTGCTGAACTCAGGGTCATTTTACCATTGGACTACATCCCCAGCACTTTTTATTTTTTATTTTGAGACAGGGTCTCACTAAGTTGCTTAGGGATTGGCTAATTTGCTAAGACTGGTTTTGAAGTTCGAGTCCTCCAGTAAGGGGTCTATCAATGATGAATGTGAGGTGAGAGGTTCTGGGATGTCTCCAGCAATCCAACTTCTAGAACTTATATTAAAATAAAGTTCTAGAAGTTGGATTTCTGGAAGAGGAGGTATTTCAGCAGGGTTTTTGGAGATTACTACAATTTCAGATAGGCAAAAATGGGCAAAACATGTTACAAAGGGCATATATAGGTTGTCTGCCTATATATGATAACAAATTGTATCTAGTTGTGTACTCAGAATCCTATTTTTAGTAAAATATCTTTCTTAAAAAAATAACTAACCAAATAAGCAATTTTTTAATCAGCGTTAAAGCTCCATTTTAAAATTTTAAAAACTTAACTGAGCAATATTCCCCAATAGGGTGGCTCTCTTCAAAGTCAATATTCAGATCCATTCTTTTTATTTTGTTTTTGGTATTGGGGATTGATTGGATGCTAAGCAGGTGTTCTACCACTGAGTTATCCCCCTAGCTCCCATATTCATTATATCTCTTTCACCAATACAGGTTTCATGTTCTAGCACATTATATTCTTAGATGTTAGTATGTACTTAACTGCTGTGATCTGGTTAATGCTCTATTACCTGTTGGTTTAGTTTTTGTTCCCCTAATATCTTTCACCAATACAGGTTTCATGTTCTAGCACAGTATATTCTTAGATGTTAGTATGTACTTAATTGCTATGATCTGGTTAATGCTCTATTACCTGTTGGTTTAGTTTTTGTTCCCCTAATATCAGTATACTCCAAGAAATCAAATAAATAAAGCTACTTGGGTTAAAGACAGTGGAAGTAGCCCAGAACTCCTAGCTTAGAGCCCTCTCTCCTTTCTGCGTTGAGCTCTTAGATACTTCCAGGGAAACCCCAGGACTCTGTAGATGACAGTTTTAAAGCCACAGCCTTCTTAACTGCACTACTGCTCAATCTTTTCCTCAAAACTTTGCTCTTTCAAAAAGTCCAGATGTGAATGTTACATTATTTAATTTGTTTTAAGAATTTCTAGATATTCCTGTTCTTACTTGTTAGGGACCTATTTAGATATTTATGAACAAAAAAATATATAAATGAATTACAAATACTTACTTCCTAGTTGTGATGGTTGGGAATATCAATGAAAATTATATTAAAATAAGTTCTAGAAGTTGGATTGCTTAAATTGAGAAGTTAATACTAATCCTAAGATAATAAAAGCAGTTACTCTCAAATTGCATGCAGATAAACAAATATACACCTAAAAATTTTAATGGGGTTTTGCTTCCTTAAAAATATTTAAGATGTATAACATCCACATATGCAGAGAAGCTGAGATAAACCCTCAGAGAAGGACATTTTTTGGAGGCTCTTTCTGATATTACAAGTCTCTGATTGGTTTTTCATATACCCTTACTCAGAGGCCCATTTTTCAGTCAGGGTAAAAGAGTACACATGGCTTATCTTATTTCTCCTACACTAAATAAAAAAAAAACCTATTAGCCTGTCATCCATAAGTCTAATTGTTTTTAATGTCCACACGAGCAAAAATATGAGACATTTTATAAAAAACATAGTGGTAGAAATAGCTTTGTCTATGTATTCATGCAGAGAATTGACCATAGTTATACTAGAACAACTTTTTTTCACCCATGACTGTGAATCACAACTATTAGAAACTATCACGAAGTTAACAATCCTTGAGTACACATTTAAATGGCAGAGTAATGATTTTCCTTCATAATATCCACTATCAACTCCTCCTTGATGGACTGATCTTACTTTTCCTCTGACACCAGGTCTCTATGATATTAAGAACAGATATCCTGGAAGTCTCAAGATGGCAGGCCAGAGGGAGGCAGCATTCTGTGTTGCTCTGTGATCCAGATCTCACCTAGTCAGAATATTTCATCTCTAAGAGTGTTAGAGGACCCCTATACAGCTGCTCTCCGCAGAAATCACCAGTGACTCCATGCAGGGCTTGGGACCTCAGCATTCGAGTAGGACGCTGGATGTTTGTCCAAAATTCTAGCCCAAGCAAGGCTCAGCAAGCGCCCTAGCAGAACCACCTATCAACACATCTGTAGATCGCCAAGACTTCGCTCTGCTCCCATGCAGGTCACTCAGCTGCTACCTACCCACAGCACACGGCCATCACCTGGCTTCCCCCACCTCTCCAGGCTCCTCCTACCTCACTAAACACTCAGGTGCTGAAAGCAGACCACTGCCATCTTGGCTCAACATTCTTGCCATATCCATATTAGCCGGGGGCAGTTCCCAGATCTCCAGCAGCCAGGTACCAGGTTTCCAACCTTCCCTGCTTCCCTGTGGTAGTAAACCAACACAGTAGATGCCCAACACAGGAGTGCAGTGCGACCAGGGAGCCGCCCAAGGGAGAGTTTCCTCAATTGGGAACATCTAGCGGAGAGGGAGATGGGGCTAAAGTTTGGAGCCTAACAGACCAGGAACTGGGAAATCTCTAGGCAAGAGAGGAAAATAGTTCTGGGAGCTCAAGACATACGAGCGGTCCCAAAAAGAGACCCGTGAGGTGAGTCTCCCTGCAGGGACTGGCGGGTGGCACTCCCTGTATCCAGGCACCCTTTGCCAGGACTAGTCTTCCTATCCTGGTTACCTTCACCGTCTGGAGGGCAGAGACACCAGCTTACAACAGACGACCCCACCTATTGGATGAGAAGAGAAGCAGGAAAGATACGGATCTCTAAAGCTAGCTACAACCCTGGTTTCTTCCTTCAAGTTTTTTGTTTTTTTTTTGTTTTCTTCTACCCCTCTATCCTCTGGCCCTCACATCCCCAACATATGTGAAACCAAGAACTCTGCATGAAATAGAACTTTGAGGACTGAGTCATCTGAACAACATCATATAGAGGAGAGGTCTTGGAATCCCTACAAGAGCACTACAAACCTATAGGGTAAAAACAATAACAATATAGACCCATAGAGCTGGAAAGGAAGACACACAAGTAACATGAAGAAAGTGCCCCAAACAGATGAAGACACCACATCATTAGAATCATTGGCAGCCATAGCAGAAGAAATGACAGAGGAGGAGTTTAGGATGTACATGGTTAAAATGTTCTGTGAACTCAAGGAAAGTATCAGAGAACAAATACAGGCAGTGAAAGATCACTTCGACAAGGAGCTACATAAACAAATACAGGAAGCAAAAGATCACCTCAACAGGGAGATAGAAGTTCTAAAAACAACAACAACAACCAGAAATCCTTGAAATGAAAGAAACAATTAACCAAATTAAAATTTCAAATGAAAGCATCACCAACAGAGTAGACCACTTGGAACATAGGAAATCAGACAATGAAGATAAAATATATAATCTTGAAAAGGAGATAGACCATACATTGTTAAAGGTAAGAAACCATGAGCAGAACATTCAAGAAATATGGGATAGCATAAAAAGTCCAAATTTAAGAGTTATGGGGATAAAGGAAGGCCATAGAGGTCCAAACCAAAGAAATGAACAATCTATTCAATGAAACAATATCAGAAAACTTTCCAAACATGAAGAATGAATTGGAAATCCAAATTCAAGAAGCCTCTAGGATGCCAAATGTACAAAATCACAACAGATCCACGCCAAGCCATATTATAATGAAAATGCAGATATAAGATATATATAGATATATATAGAATAAGGAGAGAATTTTAAAAGCCATAAGAGAAAGGAATAAAATTACATATAGGGGAAAACCAATTAGGATAATGGCAGATTTTTTA